CTGATACGGGATACATTCATTGGCACTATGGATTCGGATGCCATTTATTGGACTATTAAATTTAATATCTTGACTCGTGGGTACCTAAACGTTTAGTATTTTAATATTAATTTAATGCAAATGTATACATACCCAATAATATTAAACAGAAAAAATAAATATATTTAATAAAAATCTTTGTTTTAACGAATGTACAATGTCGTGGCTCGGTAAATACGTCAATACTGAAATGAAAGTCAGTCTAGCATAGGGAAAATCGGGGAATTACACCTCAAAACGGCGAATTGCGCAGCGGCGTTATTGTGAATCGGTGTAAACCGAGGGCTACCTGTAATAATCACTTTTAGAAACAAAAATATTTCAAATTATGTGTTTAACAATTATTTATTGCAATTTTTTAAGTATTTTAAGTTGAGCAATAGTTTTATCACAGATTTTTTTTGTAAATTAGCATAAATTACAACATAACATGTTCTCAGTTGAAAATCTTCTCCTGTTGCAATAAATAACCTTACACTGACTAAATTATTGCTTGAAACAAACACTTGTAGTAGCATTTTATTGCAATGCTTGCATTTCTCTGTATGATAATGTTGAATGTATCTGATCATTTCCATTCAAAATAGCATCAATGTCTGTAAGCTCTTTTAAACTGGGATTACTTTACATAACCGACTTAAATTTTTAAAACATTCTTACCTCTTCAAGAAACTGCTGACAGCTTCTCCTCAATGACATTATTCCTATTGCTTCTGATAGTAATAGCTTCTCACTTTCAAATTTAATTATTGCATTAATAAGAAATGAAAAAGTAGTTGAAATAAAAAAACACTTCATTCTGTGCTTTAAGTTTTGAAGCTCTTGCAAAATATCAATAGCAGTACACAATGGTTACTTTTAACATGAACTAGATACAAGGCTAGTGTTTTGTAATTATCTGAATAAGCCAGTTATACCAATGCATAATTATTGATTCAGAAGGTAAAACTAAATTTGGATTTAATTCCTTAAATAATGTAACTCTTCTCTCACACTTTTTGAATGCTTTCTACATGTTTAAGATGAATGTATTGACATTGTAAAACTGCAACTGAACATTTTTAACAATCACATTAAGACTGCAAGCCAAGCAAATTATATGAATAAGCTTTGGATTTAATCTTTAGTGTCTTGTCAACAGCTTTTATATTTCCAACTGAAAACAATAAAATATTTTTAAATGTAGTACTTTTGTGGCAAGATGCCATAATTTTGTATATACACACTAGTTGTAAGTCTAATATTTATTATTCAATCTTGTGTTCTTTGTTTCCCTATTTCTCGATCTTTCCACTCTTCACTTCTTTTTTCTGTGGGGGGCAACACCATTCCGAGAACAAGGCGGAAGAATAAAGAGAGAACACCCCGAGGCATGTGGGGTGAAGAGAAGGGTCAGTTTCGAAGGGGACTCCAGGGCAAGCAGACGGTGAGTTCGAGGTTCAAGATTTGTTATGAAGAAGAGAAGGACAACGAATTGTCTACCCAATCAACAGAAGAATTGAGAATATTCTGGTCAAGAAATATATATATCGGTGGACTAGAACAGTTTCCCCCCAACTGGAAGACATCAGAATGATATAATATCCTGGGTATCCTCTATCTTTTCTATATATCTACTTATCTGTACTATTCTATCCTCATTCCATTATTTTGTCCTAGTTTTTAAGTTAGTTTATAATCTTAGTTATAGAAATTCAATTTGTACTCTATTGTCATGAACTTGTCTCCGTTGTGTGACACCACATGTATAAAGCCTTTGTTCCCTTATTGTATGTGTGTGAGGTCCAGAGCTGGGATCCGAGTTGTTTATTGTACTGATACCCTGCAAATAAGTGAGAGCCTGTGTTGATTTTAATTTTGGTCATAAATAAACTTGGTATTTGCATATATTTCCGTACGTTTTGTCCTTTCGGGGATCCATGCACATTTGCGGGTCTTAACACTTTTACCATGAACTGCTTAACTGCTTCTAAAATAGTACTGTACGTTATTTTAGATTAGCAGCAGATGCATTATATATTAGAAATTGTTCATTTTTTCATAGTTGCATACAAATTTTTAGCTAAAATATTAATTACTCTTTGCTTTTGATGAATGAATGTCTTGTCTGCTAACAATCAAATAAGTTTATCTTTCAAGTCATTTTAGATGCAAGATTCCAATTGTTTGTATAAATTATTGAAATAACCTTTTCATAGTATTGTTAAATTTGGTGGATGATGCTTTTGTTCATTTCTCAAGAACTTATTTTTTTGTAAAATATCTACTTAGGTAATTTGTATAAAAAAATTAATATTAACAAAATGTTTGTAAATTGAATGTAAATATGGTAAATATATGGAAAATGGGAATGTATGTAAACAATAGCTTTTAATTGCTTAGAACAATTTCCAACTTTTTTAGCATACTTTATTTTTCTTAATTGATTAATTAATAAATAGTAAATATTTCTTAATTTCAAGTGTGCTAGTATTGATATGTTGTATATATGATTGATTAATAATTTTGTCAATCTTTCTGTGTGTTTTTAAAAATGTTTTCTATGATAAAAATGATTAACTAATTTAAAAATAAAACTGAATTGTGCTACTGTAGATAAGCATTTAGATCAGTGTTTCTCAATGGGGGCAATATCGCCCCATGTGGGCGTTTTTCCATGTTGAGGGGGCAATTAGTAACAATTTATATTTTGGGGGCAATATAGTAAAACATTATATTAAGAATAATTAGATATTTTATTCGTTATATCGTACAATAATTAAACAAATAACATTATCCTAGTCACTAGTCTATTCAATGCAGTATGAATTTGGCGTTAGCCTTGGCCCTCGGCATCGGAATTTATAGTAAAGGGGTTTTATTAAGTAACGGTTTTATTGAAGGGGGCGATACTACGTTGAAGGGGGCGACAATTCGTTAGAGGTTGAGAAACACTGATTTAGATGAATGCAAGAAATGCTATTGATTAACATGTATCATTTTATTAAATATTTAAACTTTTTAGAATTTAAACATATAGTTTTAAATGAACTAACTATTATTAATTTATTTAAATTTCTAATTTAGATTTTAAATAATTAAAATATGTTAATTTTCACAGACTACAAACAGTTGACAAATCCTCACTATCTGACACAAGTCTTGATAAAATAGACGACACCCTCAATTCTGGAAATGCTAATCAATTGGAATGTCGAAGGTCCAGAAGGAAAAGAAATAATTGTTTGACTAATGATAAGATTTCAATTAAAAGAAGAAAATCTCAGGTTGATTTTAGATTCTATACATTTCAAATTTTCGTAAATTATGCTATAAATATTATACAGGCATTATTCAAATATTAACAAAATTTAGTATAAACAAATAAATTATTGTTTTGATTGCAGAACAACACTTAAACTACACTTCAAAAATTTATATTGCTTTTTATGATGATATAGGCTTGATTTTTATATAACTTTAAAAAAAATGTTTGTAATAGTTTGTTGTTTATCCTATTGTGAAGGTTGCTATTGAGAGAATGTAGGGTCTGCAAACAAACGTTACAAATAAAAGAATAATTAACTATCTTACAAAGTAGTCTTTATTTCTCTCCAATCGGGTTCTTACAGTATGGACCCCAACTATATAAAATTTCAATTCTACTATATTTACAACACAAGGAGATCTCTTCGTCCTCTTACAATTTGGAATACCCGTAACAACCAATGTTTGATTGATTGACTTATAACTAATACTATATCTAACTTAAATTAACGAAAACAAAAGGATGTAGGAAAATAAGAAAGAAGAATAAGTGTAGCTTCTCTACACAAATATCTGGGTTGTCCTTATATGAAAAATGCTCTTTGTGCAGGGTGCATGTTTAACATACTTGACGTTCTTGTGTAGGGATCCCTTTTTCTGACGAATAACTAATATCCTCTATTCTCTTGGTCAATGTCCTTATGACTCTGCTTCGTTCTCTAGAACTTTACGGCTTTTCAGACTTCTCAGCTTTCTCCTCTAGTATGGAGCTGTGCTTCGCCCTTTCCTTCCTCTCAGGTCCCGAATCCAAAAGTGACTCCACTCTGGACTGTTTGTCCTCAGGCATCCCTTTTACTCTTTTGTTCAACCAGGGAGACTAATCCCCCCCAAGGGCAAGGAGGGTCAGGAAAGAAGTTTCTAGAAGAAATTTAGAACAAAGGATAGGATAGAATATACGAAAAAAACTCAATATATAAAAATTTCATATAACCATATGGCTAACGGCCACACTATAGACACCACATACAATAAGTTAGGATCACTAGTAATAAGTAGAATATAGAACATCAACTTAATAAAATTATGAAATCTGATAAGATGATGTATTTTAAAATAATATGTATATTGCTGGTTGCTGGTGATATAGGATTTTGGTTTGATTTGATTGAATACAATGCAACATATGGGCAATCTGCTAAGGAAGCTGACTCCTGAGAGGACTCTTTGGGGGAAACTATTCTCTATTTGGGTGTTATATATTTGAAGAAAGCCCCAGAAAACTCTACTTGGCCAGTCTGTTTGTGAGGCACAAACACATGATCAACTATCAGAGTTCAGCAGCTTTACCCACTCAACTACTGGTGGGCATTTAGGATATTTAAAGCTACAGTAATTAAAAATATCTATTAGAATAATATCAGATATACATAAATACCAAACAATAAATATCAGTGGCGTGCCGTCATTGGAAGCAGTGGATGTGCCGCTTCCCTTGTATTTTCTAAAAATAAATACATATTAATTTTAATTATATGAAAATAATCGCACAATATTTTATTATAACCGCATTATGTATCTTATTACAAATTTCTATACTACGCATGAAAAAAAATAAGATTGTTATTGTATATTCGAATATTAGTGGCGGAGTGGAAGCGCCGTATCGTCAGCATCCAAAAAGCCAGATTCGCGCATGCGCTTTACAGAGCACCAACCTCACCAGGTTTAGCCAGTGGAAGCCTAGGACCTTGGGTGGATGCTACATGTATATTGCATCCAATTCTATCCAGGACCAGTTTTGGGATGTTAGCCTCCTGCCCGCCTGCAAGATATTTGGCTGCGCTCGCCCGATTACATGAATCGCGAGTAGATTTATAACTTAACCCAAACGATAAGAATTTACTGGTATGTTTTTATGATAGTTCTGTATAGTTGACAGGAGTTTTAAAAAATCCATAAAAATATTTGATATTTTTATTCCGCTTTCTGATTTTATATAGGATGTTTTTTTAGAGTTATACAAATTTAAAATGAAGTAAAACACGTAAAAATAATGTTAATGGCCATAGTGTTGGCTTTATTTAAAAGATAATTTTATGCCATTAGTGTTTAAACATGATTTCAGGCATATGGGCGCCATGGCTGACTCAAATGAAGCGCAATTGGGAAGAACAATTTTCGACCACTTTATCGAGCAACTGGGGCCATATATCAGCAATAACGCGGCAAATGTTGAGTAACGTACATCCATTAAAAGTCACTGTTTGGTGTGCTTTATGGGCAGGTGGAATCATAGGCCCATATTTTTTAGGATGATGCAGGTCAGAATGTTACCATCAATGGAGAGTGCTTTTGGAGTGATTGCTGACTTCTTCATTCCTCAGTTGAATGGTATTAATGTGGCAGAGCTTTGGTTTTAACAAGATGGCACAACATGCCACACAGCATGCGACACCATGAATTTATTGCAGGAAACATCCGATGAGCACATAATTTTGCATAATGGACCTGTGAACTGGCTTCCATGATCATGTGATCTCACACCTATGGATTACTTTCTTTGAGGATATGTGAAGTCACTAGTCTATGCCAATAAACCACAGACGTTGGACCACTTGGAAGTCAACATTTGCCGCGTTATTGCCGATATACGGCCCCAGTTGTTTGATAAAATGGTCAAAAATTGTTCTTCCTGATTGTGCTTCATTCAAGCCAGCTGTGGCACTCATATGCCAAAATCATGTTTAAACACTAATGGCATAAAATTAGCTTTTAAATAAATCCAACACCATGGCCATTAACATTATTTTTATGTGTTTTACTTCATTTTAAATTTGTATACCTCTAAAAAAAAACCACACCCTGTATTACTCATGGATTTCAATGTTAAACCAGTGATATTATGATTTTGTATATCCCATCTCTAAGGGGATGTAGAAAAAAACATGTACAATTCTTATATACACCCATACCTCGCTTTACGGCCTAGATACGTTCCACGAAACTTGGCCGCAAAGCGAAAAGCCGTATAAGGAATCAATTATTCTAATACAAATTCATACAAATTCAATGGGATCAGTTCCAAATTTGTTAAATATGTAACATGGTTTATCATTCAAAATGCGTTTTATCTTTTTATTTCATTTAAATCAAAACTACATACATAAGAAGTACATACATTTGTACATAAAATAATAACAGACTCCAAAAACCAACAATAATCTATAAACAAAAATGAAACAACTTCATGTTACATAAAATATGTGTATGTTTACATACATAATTTTTTTTAA